AATTTATCTATAATTTATTATGATCCACATTATTTGACACCTTTGCATAGTGAATAAAACACAGGTAAACATCCTTAAACACAGGTAAACATCCTTTGGTTTTCTCTACTTTTAGCCAACATTCATTTGATATCAGCAATGATGTCTCTCATTCCATGACCTCTTCTGAATCTAGCTTTAATATCTTGCTGAAACTAATAATTAGGGTAAAAAAAAAGGTTTCTATTTTGGGAGTTTTCTCACTCCTGTTTGTATCTGCATTCTTATTGTTGTTCTGAAGGAAGCCTGCTGCAGTTCAAGTTCAAGTGGATGAATTCAGAGCAGTGGGAGGGACTACCATACCTGTCTGAATGAGCTTCAAAGTAGATCTGTACTTTCTTTCATCCAAGCTGAACTTCTAGCTAAGACTGCAGCCTTGGCCAGTAACTTGAGTGCATCCTCTCATGAGAATCTATGAGTCAGAGGCATAGCTAAGCTATACCTTCACTCCTGAGCCACAGAATTGTATAACTAAGTGTTCACTGTTTGAAGATGCTAACTTCTGGAGTGGAGTTGGTGGTATAATCCTAGGGAGATGGATGAGTCCTAGCTAAAGACCCCAAAGTCACGCCTCTCTGGCAGTTCGTATCTACCAGGAGATCTGCAGGAGGAAGGTGGGCACTCTCCTTTCGTGCAAATCACAGCCTCCAAAAGCCCACTAGAGGGTCAGCTAGGAGTAGGTTTTCACTTGAAGGCAATGAGTTGAGTTGAATTACTGGAGTAATTTTTTTATAAAACAATAACATACACTATCTAGAAACAAAGCAAGATGCATCCTTTCTACAGAACAAGATACTGCTCAAATATCCAAAGCATTCCCTACTGATTCACACCACAGGCTTCATGAATCCCCAAGACTTTAAGTTACAATGAAAAACTCAGACACAAAAAGCTTTACATCACATAATTCCATATGCATGATAGTCTAGAAAAGAGTAGGTAGGTTCTATGGAGATACACTGTGTAAGAAATACAGCTGCACCTTCCATGTCCCCGTTTCCTCTTCTCAGCTCCAGGTCATAAACAAAATCCAGCAATTCAAAACGCCCTGAACATCCTGAGAAACACTGTTAGGCTTTTACATTTGTGTCAGCAGAAAGTGTCAGAAGTCCAGCTGCTTGGCCTCAGTGGACTTTTACACAGATTTTTTTTCTTTTTACTCATAATAAGCACTTAAGAAAAATGCATTTTACGTCTTTCATCCTGGCAAACTTTAAAAATGGTGAATCATAGAAATTATTAAAAAGAAGAAGATGATGACATGTTTTAATGACATGAGCAGGCAACCTAAAAGGGGCTGAAGGAACAAAAGAAATCACAGCTAAGAGGAGAAAAAAGGAAAAGGTCTGAATGCAGTATCTTTACAACTGTGACTAAGGTAAGATGTGCCTCCCTCAGAAACTGCAACAGGAAGGAAGTATGAAGTCAGCAGCTGCTTTAGGAACGCATTGGGCCATTCTAAAGTTATTCAACGCAGCTGGATGTCAACTTTGATGTCTCATTACTGTACAGATAGTTAGAAAGCAATACTTTTCAGAGGGCATTCTATCTCATCAGTAAATTACATAAACTATGAGACAAAGGGAACTTTTGCCTTTACAAGAAAACCAGAGTGAGGACTCAGTGTTGGGAAGATCTTTTCATTCATAACCCTGGGGCAGGAAGTCCTTTCACCTCTCATTGTAAGTGTGCCTCAAGACACAAGGTACCAGGGAAATCTGGAATCATGGTATGCTAGAGTTGGAAGGAAGGAACTGTGTGTTGTTTTTCTATTGTGCTGTAACAAGAGAAATCTATCATCTCATCGATTTCAAGGAGTATGGGCACAGCTTCAAGAAGTCCTCTGCTTAGGACCTAACAAGGAAGCAATCAAGGTGACAAACTAGGGTGCATCTCATCCGGAGGTCACGGTTTTCTTCCAAGGTCATTCAGCTTGTTGGCAGATTCAACAGTAGGAATGAGATTATCCTTTGTTGCTGGCTGTTGACAAGGCATTACTATCAATTTCTCACCCTTGGACCTTAGCCATCGGGCCTTCTCACACGATTATTTTTCCAGAGCTAGCAAGAGAACCTCTCTCGAGTCTGCTACCAATGGGTCTTACATAATGTATTGTAATCATGTACATGATACCCCTGCCTTAGAACACAAGCTAATCAATGAAGGGGGAGTATTTATAATATCCATATGCATGCCCACACTTAAGGGTAGTGGGAAATTATACAGATCATGTGCATAAGGAGATGGAGGCTCCAAGGGCTATCTTGTTGTCAACCCCAATCCTGCAACATCACCCAATACACATTTTTATGCAAAGATGGCAAAGACAGAGGTCAAGGAAGGGGACATTAATTATCCAAAGTTACAAAGTACTTCTCAAAGATATGAAGACCTAAACCCTAGTCTCTCAAAGCTCCTTGTGACACCTGGCATAGAAAGAGGTAAGCTAGCATACTGTATAGGAAACAGTAAAAAATCAAATCACCGTGCTCGTCAGCCAGGCAATAATACAAATACTTTGTGACTCCTGGTCCATGTAAAGAATGCTTACCTGCAACGAGCTAGCATGCTGAGTCAGGGTCCTGGAAGAGTCATATTGGGCAGGATTGGCCAGCAAATGACTGGTCTTTTCTATCCAAGCCTCAGTGTTCTTCAAAAGGTCATTATATTCCTCCATCTTAATTGTGGCCTGTAAAAGGGATATAAGACAAATTCTGACTTAATGTCTTTTACTGCTTTCACTTGAGAGTTGAATGCTTCTTGAATGGAAAACTGCTACTGTCAGATTGGGGTCATCTGACCACGCCCTTTCAGGTTACCTTTAACCCTGACCACAGGTGGAAAGGTTAAGATATTGACTCTATCATTCTAATTGTTTTAGTTGACACAGCGACAACAGCAATAGACTCCAGGTGACAGAGATAAAGAGGATGGTACAAATAGGACAGGGATCAGGTCTGTTGTGTCCAGGTTCACTGTAGGTCATACTCTCCTTGACAGCACCTAGTAACAATTCTAGCATTACTCCTGCTGGAGTGGCCCTCGCATTGGGCTGCTAAACAACAGGGAAGCGGTCTGGATCCACAAGCAGCTCTGTGAGAGAAGGATGAGCTAGTTGGGTTCTGCACAGGACTGACAACCTCAGAAACTGGGTGGTGCGTCGCCATGAGCCCAGCCTGACTCAAGCACAGTGTATTTGGTTGTTCTGTGCTTTTTGTCTTGGCAAGAGTTCTAGGTAATCTGGAACTAATCTTCATTTTATGTTTTATTCTGAAAATCAGAGTTAAAATTTGTCCCCCTTGCCTTGCCTTGTAATGTCCCAGGTTCCCCCAAGACTAAGATACATCTGGTTCTTGCTGGACGCCCCCATGATCCTTAGTGGGGGCAGGGGTCATCTTGTTTGTGAATGACTTTTGGACACTTAGTTCTCCTATTTGTCCAATCAGATCTCCTGACTGTCCATCGGTAGATCTCAGTTATGGTTTCCTGTCACATGATTAAGGTGCCACATGATGAGGAGGGGCATGAGTGAGCAATTTCTATTTATGCCACTTTCCACTGCCAGCTGTGCGGGATCATTCAGCCATTTAAAACCAATTGCCACGAGCACTATTGTTTGCAATTACAATTCTAATGTCGGTCCCAACAGTGACAATGTTCTCTCCATGCCCTCCTGAACCCACCTCTGGGCTCTAGCCTCAGGTCCTGTAAGTGACAATTTAACGGAAGCTCGTTATGTCTCTACTGTCTGCCTTTGTTTTAAAACTCCTATCAGTGACATTATTCTACAACTGCACGTGTTCCAGCTGTACCTTATTTAACTGTGAGGTTCTAGATTCTGCCCTCTGTGACACCTGCTGATACTGCTGGAAGGGAACCATCAAATTATCCATCCATTCTTGAGCTTGTCCTGGATCTTGTTCAACAATGTCCTGGACTTCAGAGTCCAGCTCGTTCAGCTTAGCATGCCAGAGATCTAGCTCATCCCACATTTTCTAGAGAAAAAAAAATTGTAACATAAATAAAGACGTGACAGCTTTTTGTGTTAATCTACTTTCCATGGCATCTGCTCTTGGACAATACTACCCCAAACCTCACCCAGACACAGCTTTTCATTTACGGATAGCAATCATCTGTGATTCAGCCTGAGAAACCCCTTTTTCTGAGCTCTCTTACTCCAACCACATTTATCTTTCTCAGAATTAGCAGTGGAGGAACAGGAAGACCTGGACATTTCCAGAGGTCAGTGACGGACAACAAGGGCACCGTACCCCTAACCTTTCAAGAAGGATTAGGTAATATGTCAAAAGGAAGTTTATGCAGACACCACAAACTATCTATAAGGTGATTTCTGTCAAAAACACAATGAAAAGAACTGTTCTGACTTGGTGCCATGGAGGAAGCTTCTAGAGATCTGAATCTGAAAAAAAAAAACACAGAAAAACAGCTTTTGGATATAGAAACCAACAGGTTAGATGCAAATCTAAAATTATCTGGACAGAAAAAAAAAATAATCACCTGCTTTAAAATGTACTTTGTAAAAATGGAAATATTTAACTGGATGAATCAAGTACTTAATGTTTATTCATGAAGGAGCCGAGCCCTGTGCTTTCTTACAAAGTTAGGAATAGAGATACCACATGATCCATCTATCTTACTACTAGGTCTGTATCCCAAAGAAATAAGATTTGTGGTATAAACTAAGATATGAACACCTATGGTTATTTCAGCATTATTTACAATGGCAAAGAGACGGAAATAATCTAACTGTCCATCAAAGGATGAATAGTTAAAGAAACCATGGTACATTGACACAATAGAGTAGTAAATATCACTAAAAAACTATAAAAAAAAATCTATGAAGAATTTGTGAAATATTGCACAATATGAATGAATCTGCAACAAATACACTAAATGACTTAAATCAGTCACAAAAAGATGATTATGGTATAAGGCCATTGTATGAGGAGAAGTGTGGCATCAGGATTGGAGGAAGATTCATCAACAATCTGTATTATGCAGATGATACAACCCTGCTTGACCTGAAGTGCTTGCTGCAGAGTGTCAAGGACTGCAGCTTTCAATATAGATTGAGGCTCAATATCAAGAAAACAAAAATTCTCATCAGTGGGCCAACTGGCAACATCAGGATGGGTGGTGAAGAGATTGATATTGTTCACAGCTTTAGTTTGCTTGATTCCACAGTCAACACTCTTGACACCAGTAGCCAGGAAATTGAAAGATGAATTGTAATGGGAAAGTCTGCTGTTAGGGACTTCTTCAAAGTACTGAAGAGCAATGGTGTCACTCTGGAGACTAAAGTGTGCCTGATACAGGCAATCCCTTGCTATGCATTAGAGAGCTGGACTAGGGAGGATAGAAGAAGAATTGATGCCTTTAACCTGTAGTGTTGGAGAAGAATATTGAATATACTAGAGACTGCTAAGAAAATGAACAGGTTCACCCTAGAGAGGGTTAAACCAGGCTGCTCCTTGGAGGCAAGGGTTTCTGAGACTTTGGTCTGACATACTTTGGTCATGTTGCGAGGAGGGACCAGTCCTTGGAGAAAGACGACATGCTTGAAAGGGTGGAGGGACCAGTGTAGGAGAGGAAGACTGTGAGGTGGATTGATTCAGTGACTGGGGGAGTTGGGGTGCGTGTATCGGAAACAGTGAGGTTGGTACAGGATAGAGCAGGTTTTAGGGCTGTTGTACATAGGGTCGTTATGAGTTGCAGGCTACTCGATAGCACATAACAACAACAAGGAAAGGTTTACCCACAAATAGAATCAATCTTGAAAGGTTTAACAGGGGTTGGGGGGATAAAATTAATAATTACATAACCTGGGAAAGGCAATGCACACTAAGGAGCTTGTGACATATTGCAGTGAATTAATCCTATTAACCAATGATGATTAATGTTATAAAACAAAATGGCTACAAATTATTATAAAAAGAAGCAATGGTAAACCTAAAGTGTATGGGGGAGGGGGGGGTGGAAATTAAAGCCCTAAAAAGGAAAACAACAAATTATGTTGTCTGTTATCCATGATGGACAACTGCGCTGGGGAGTCAACAAAATTAAAAATAAACCAGACCTTTTTAAAAATAAATAAACAAACAAAACAAATAAATTACATTATCTAAATAGGTGGGGGAGGAAGAAGAATGCTCTGATGGCATATAGTATGTATGTGTTAGACAGCTAATCAAAGGTCAACAGTTCAAATCCACCAGCTGCTCCTCTGGATAAAGACGAACAATCTCCTGCTGGAAAGATTTAGAGTTTTGAAAATCTGATGGAGGCCCTATGTGTCAGATCTGGCTCAATGGCAGTGGGTTTAGGAGTCTCATTGGTTAAGAGTCCAAGATTTTGCTCAATGGTAAGTCATATTCTAATCTATTTTAAAAGTTTGAATTGTGGTGCTGGAGAAGAGTACTGACTATCAACATAGACTGCCAGTAGAACAAACTGGTGTGTCCTGGAAGAAAGCTTAACCTGGGTGCTCCCTGGAGGCAAAGATGGTGAAACTCCATCTCACATACTTTGGGAATATTGCAAGGAGGGGCCAGTCCTTGGAGAAGGACTTGGAAGGGTTGAGGTTCAGTGTAAGTTAGGCAGACCCTCCACACGATGGACTGACACAGTGTAACAATGGGCTCAAGTGTGTTGGAGTTGGTGAGGATGGCACAGGATAGGGCAGGGTTCAGAGCCATTGTTCATAGAATCTCACATAACAACAGTAACATTTACATTAGAATAGTCCCTTGAAGCTTAGATTTAGAATTAAAATATTTTCCATATGCAAAAGTTGGCTTGGGACTAAGTAACTCTAAGATGTACAGTTTTATAGTTATATAGTACACAATTGTCCTAAGATGTTTTACAAGAGAAACAAATTTGACATATTTATTCTTTTATTTCTTCCTTAAACAAGTCTGAAGGAAAGCTGTTAAAACTTTCCATACAGTAAGGAATTGTTTCTGTATCCTTGAGCTCAAGATAATTCCCTTCTTTTCTTTCTCTTACAAAAGATCTCATTTCACAATCAGATAGGCTTTTCCAAATGAAGGCATACTCCCACCAAGGGAAAGTGAGATTAATTCTTAAATGCAACATTTTCCACAAGGCGACTCTGCATCTGAGGTAGGGATGCCATGGTTCAAAGTGAACTGGAGACCATGCCTTGATACATTTGGTGAAGAGTGTGTCAGAAATATCCAATGATGAAAGAAGTTAAAACAGGAGGGTTACCTTCTGAATTTCTTGAGCTTTCTCAATATTTTTGCTCTTCTGCTGCAACATCTTCTCAACAGTATGAAGCCCATTGTTAATATCTTTTATTTTCCTACTCACTGCATATGCTGGTGAGCTTTTCAGTATTTCATTGCTGACCTGTTAGGAAGACACACACATTTGGCTTTGAGGTGCTTTCAGCACTCAAACAAGCAGGTAGTAAAACTCTGGTACACGATTTTATTTATAAACATTTAAAAAAAAACAACAAAAAAAGGATAGCAAAGAGTGTAGGGTAAGAGGAGGGTGCAAAACAGGCTAATGTATTAACATGAAAGGGGGTTAAATGGCAGCCTTGCATACATGGCCTTTAAAATCTAATATAAAAGAAATACAACAAACACAGAAATATGCCCTATGTAATCTAGGATATGTATCCACTCATGTGCTTTCCTGGGCCAGGCTAATGAGTGGAGTGCTTGAAACCGCCTGTACTGGGTCAAATAATATAAATGTGATCCTAGGGGAGAAGTTATTTACTACAATTTCTCTATTTTATGAGAAAAAAAATATTCTGCATCATATCTGCTTCCAATAAAGCCAAACTTACTCTTAAGGTGATTAAAGAAAATGCCATTGCCACCTGATATTCATTTGGGTGAAATAACCACCTCTCACTAGCCACTTTGTGACAAGACACAGAGCTTATGTTCTTCTGTATGTGAGTGCTGCAAGCGCCTGTTTCCACAGCAATCAGAAATCTAGCGCCTCAACAGTGTAATTTTTTTTATCGGAATGATTTTCTTAAGACAATAACTTGTGCTAGTTAAGATAATAAATGAATGATGAATGTGTCCTTTTTCAAAGATCTGATTAGTGTCATGTTCCTGTTTTTTCAAGCTATGCTGACAAGGCTTTTGACAGGCAGCTGATAAGTAATGAAATCATACTTAGTACTTTTGTGTAATCCTCTTAATTCTCCAAAGTACCACTATATCTGCACAGAGAGTATGCAGATTCAGAAACTGAGACTGGCTAAATGACTTGCCTAAGGCCAGATGTCAAAGCAGTGCCTGGCCTTGTCCTGAGAGGCCCTGAATCGGCAGACTCAGTCCCAGGTCCTGTCCACCACACCAGACTCCCGGGACTTGTGGATTACGCTTTGTTCTGAAGATCAGACCGAAGTCAAGACTTCCAGAAAAACAACAACAAAACCCACTTCGGTCCTGTATTAGTTTTCTACTACGATTTGACATAAAAAAAAGTTTTCTGACATCTCAGCTGTTATTCTCTGACAGAAATTAGTAACATTTAGTTCTGGTGGCCTAATGGTAAGGAATCATACTGCCAACACAAAAGGTATGCGGTATGAATCTACCAAATGCTCCATAGGAGAAAGATGGGCAATCAATTCTCATGCAATTTAGTACCTCTGAAAACCCAGTGGAGGGTCAGCTATGGGTCAGTTCTGACTCTGTGGTACACAATAACAGTTATATTAGAAGAGACCATGATTTAGAAAAGGGAGAAGAAAAAAAAAAAAGAAAAGAAGCCAAGTGAATGATACAGAATGGTACTGTCTTTTAACATTTCTTGATCTTCCATTAGACACAGGAAACAAAAAAATCCATAAATACACCAGTTACAATACAGTCTCAACAGGATAAATACTGCATAAGACCATTATTTTTATTGTAAAAATCGAAGGATAACTAGTACAACATGTATGGGAATTCAAGGAGGGGAGAAGTGGGAGCAGAGGGGTGAGGATGAGTAGGGGTAAAACCACAGAGTTGCACAGTTTGGTGGGTGGAGGGAGGGAGGAAGTAAATGGGAAGGATCCAGGTGACAAGAAGGGGTAATTATGGACAACGTCCAATTGTGATTAATTTTATAAAACATAATTATGGGCAAGGTTCAAAACTGATTAATTTTATAAAATTTAGTGAATAATTGTATGAAACAATGTGAATAAATAGCGTGAAACACAATGTATATGAACTTTGTAAGTCAACCAATTTAAAAAAATACACAAGTTACAGGTAAAATTTTCAACTCTAAGTTTGAATGACAAGTTTGACTGTTAGTTTATTTCAGAGAAGGGGAATCTTTATATGAAATATTCACAAGTTCAACATGTGGCATTCTTAGAAATATAAGTAATAGTACATGTTCCTTAAGAAAGTACCTTATAGCAGATTGTCTTATGTGTTAACTTTGTAAGATTATATGCACGCGCGCGTACACACACACATACACACACACAAACTAGTTTATATGTGTTTATAACAGGGTGGATTTTTCTCAGATCTCTTTTAATTGTTTTAAAGACACACTCTACCATCTAAGTTTGAAAACAGATTTTTAGTACATTTAGGAACAATTTTTTTTATCTAGTCATATTAGTACAACTTGTTAAATAATAATAAACTACATTAGTTTTTAAAGTTCTAAGCCCCAAGAGGAGTGCAAAATTCTTCTCTAAGTAGAGAACCGAACAAAACTTGGTTCTGTTGGATGTGCACTGTCTTTTCCCAATTTAATAAACTGGCTTGAGAAGTTCCTACCTCTCTAGTACTATAAAACATTTACCACTACATTTCAAGGTTTTATTTTTCAGGTATAAGTATTCCTCAGGTATGTGCTGTGAGAATTCTATTAGCACAGTCTCTGTGCTAACTTCTATTCTTCATGAGGACTCAAATTTGAATACTTATTGGCCTTGGTTGCAGTTTCAAAATTTTCACAATAAATATGTTTCAAAGCAAGGTCTTGTCCAGGTACAAACATTTTAGTGGTGTTACAATTTAAAAAAGA